GGATGAAGACCGACTTGAAAACAGAAAGCTGTCTTCCCTCAGCTCTGCTTTAGTCACAACAGCTCAGCCTAGTTCATGCAGAACGCAACTGGTCATTATTTCGACAGTCGACTTCTTCCTCAAATATTCCATCACTAGTAAATACAATTCCGAAGTACTTGAACTTCTCCACCTGTTCCACGGCCTTTCCGTTAATCTGAAGAGAGCAACGGGGGGGGGGGCAGGGAAACGAGAAGGCACTAGACTTTTGGCTTTAGATGCGTTCACACGCATGCCGGTCACCTCGCATTCGGATGCGAAACTTTCCAGAGAACACTTTAGATCAGTTTCAAAAGATGCCAACAAGGCATGGTCGTCTGCAAACAGCAACCATCTTGTCTCGAAACCTCCTACACCGATACACTAATCGCCTTGACTGCGCCTAACTATTCTATCCATATACAACACAAACAGGATAGGGGACAGAATGCAGCCTTGGCGTAGAAAAGTGCCAACGTTAAAAGGTGTCGACTTAACGCCATTTACTCTGACGCAAAACCTGCTATCAGCGTATAGTGATTGGATGGCCCGTAATATCTGGCTATCGATCAAATATGTTCGCAGGGATGCCCACATCTTGTTCGCAGCATCTGGTCACTGGTTTTCTCCAAGGTTGACAAAGTATATGTAAATGGAATGAGGGAACACCTAAAATTCCTCAATAATCTAGTGTCAGGCAAAGATTCGGTCAGAGGAGTTTCAGTCTAGTCTGAAGCCACAATGCTTTTCTTGGGTCTTAGAGACAACTATTTCGCGGTACCTATTCTGGCAAAATTTTTCCCGGGAGGCTCAGTAAGCGAATTCTCTGATAAGTGAAGCAGCTTTTATGGTCTCCATTCTTAACTGGGACTATGAACACTTCAGTTTTCTAGCCCACCAGTGTTTTCTATGTACCTCCTGCAGCTTTGGAAATACTTCTTAACCATAACATACCTTGCTCGTCCAAAGTTTAAGCATTTCCGGGAGGATTTTGTCGATTGTGGAAGCCATGTCAGTTTTTAAGTTTTTTATAACATCATGTGACTTCGTCTACTAGATATCCGTTGCTTCCTACTCTTCGGAGGAGTCTTATTGCAGTTTCTCGAGGTTAAGAAGTTTTTCAAAGTACTTTCGTCATAGTCAAAATATATCCTCTTTCTAAATAAGACGGCGTCCGGGCTGATTCTTCAGGATTTTCAGACTGTCTAGTTTAATCTCGAATGCGGAGGATGGCCTGCACTAATATCATTGTTTGGAGTCTGAAAATTTGCCCTAAAGACGTTGATAAAAATGACAAATGTCATTCTCAAATCAGATGAATGATTATCTGAAAGTTTGACAAAAATGGACTGACTATTCAGTATAAACTTTCCAAAGGTATCACCAGAAGATGACCATAGCAGTAGTGAGCACAACAGTCAAGGATCATGAAATGAAACAGAGAAACTTAACTTAAAATATTAACAGACGAGTATATTTAATTCTGAAACAAATCATTAAAATGCAAACTCCCCTAAATATCAGGAACGTGCTTAATGTTTGAGCCAGCAATGTGACATTGTGCATAACCACCGGATCCCGGAACTCTAATATCACGGGGCTTTTGCAGTTGAAATGTCGCTATAAATCACTGGAAACACGAAGAAGTATTTGATTTTGCGGACTGAGTTGTATAAATCATTCTCTACGGTGGTATGATTGTAAACAGAGTCTAGTAAATACATGTCATCAGTAACAACCTTCTGTGACCCACTGCTGGATAAAGACCTTCCCAAGACTTTGTCATATACTTCTGTTTTCTGTGATATTTATCCATTTTAATTCAACGAACTTTCTCAGCTCGTCCTGCCATCGTTCCTGAGGAATAAAGCATACACCCGTTCCCCACTAAAGTCACGTATGGAAAAGAACCGGTTCAGATATGGCCAAGTCTTCAGACTGTTTAGGTGATTCTAAAACTTTATCTTGGTATGATGCAATACATGGAATTGATGAAGCTCAAGATCAGAGTATACCTTCTCTAACCGCGAATCACGAAAGCCCATTTTCAGATAGTTTTCGAATAAACCTTCTCTGAAAAGCTGCTCATCCGTACATTTGTTAATCGCGTCCCAAACGTTCAAGATCCTTCAAAAACATCAATTATTAAATACATGTAAACAGCTAAACAACTCCAGACGCACCGATGGAACAGCAGCGATCTGTCTTGCTCTTGGTTCATCGCATGGCCGACGTGCTTTTTCCTAAAGTATAGGCCTACTGAATGGAAATATGCGATACAACAAGGTCGTTCTCTGTTCAGAGGGTAGATGATATGAAACATTACTTAATATTTGCAGCACCTCAGCACTGCTACTAGTATGAGAAGAGTATTTTAACTACAGAATTCAACGAAAGAACAAATAGCTGTCGTATGTATTTGTCGCCGTTGACAAAAAGACAGAAAATATAATAAAATACAAAATTACAAAATTAAGCACATTTATTTTGTATTAAACATTTTAACTGCTAATGTTTCGATCTCGATAAACTGAGGCCTTCTTCAGGCGGTATAAAAATACAGTCATCTATTCATTTAAATCTAGATTGTCGAGTCCACTGCTCGGAGAATACAGCTAATGAATAACCCTATGGCTGTCTGATATACTTGAAGCCTTCTCGCAAACATCTGCTTGAACTGTTCGCCTATTAAGAACCTTCTAGTCCATCCTTTGAGGCGATTCGAATTTATTATTAGGATCAATATCATTCACTTTAAAGGATCAGTGGATGATGTGCGCTCCTGGTCAGATCTTTTATTTTGGATGACACTTTAAGAATGAACCACGTATTTATTTTATGATGTCACTGTTCATGGTAATCTTCATATTCATGTCAATCTTAGTGTGACAAACGTTTGTCGTAAAATTCATTTAATGACATATCGTTTCATGGTTAGAAAATTTATTAACAATTTTCATTGTAACTGTAAAGTTTAAATTCCTTGTAATCAGACGATGTGCGATTATGGTGCATCACAATAAAAACTGTCTATACCGGATGGGTCCACTTCCGTTTACAACGGGCTGCGCAGGTGTTGGTGAACTGAGGCAGTTGCTAAGTGAACGAACAGGAAAGAATGACACACATAGTCTAGAAAGATGAGTACAGGAGTTATAGCCTGCAGACATACTGGATCGATGATCAACTGCTAGGGGTCATCCAATAACTGCATATTGATAGCAAGTGCTGCATCAGACTAAATGGCGTTAAGTCGAAACCTTTTGGCGTTAGCATTGGTCTCCGCCAAGGCTGCTTTCTGTCCCCTCTCTTGTTTGTGTTGTACATGGACGGAATAGTCACGCCAGCCAAGGCAATAAGTGTACCGGTATAAGAGATGTCGAGACAAGAAGGCTACTGTTTGCAGATGACCTTGCTTTGTTGGAATCTTCTGAAACTGATCTCCAGCGCTTTCTGGAAAGGTTCGTAACGAGTGCAACGAGGCCGGCATGCGAGTGAATGCATCCAAAATGAAAAGACTAGTGCCTTCTAGTTCTTCTGCCCGTTGCGATCTGCAAATAAATGCAGAAACACTGTAGCAGGTGGAGAAATCCAGTTATCCACGCACTTTTGCCCTTTTGGGTCGTGTTTACTGGTGAAAGCAAAAGGAAGAAGGAAATCGACCGGCGAACTGGAATGGACAGCCGTCTTCTGCGTGAAGTAGTGCTATTCATTCTTACTAAAGCAGAGCTGATTCCGTAGACTAAGTGTGTGTTTCCAAGTTAATTTTTAACCACCTCTTCACCTACGATCATCGATCGTGGGTCATGACTGAAAACTTCGAATTCGGGTACAAGCGGCCTAAATGGGCCTTCTGAGACGAATCGAAAGGCTCACGCATTTCAACAGGTCCGAAATTCAGATATACGAAAGAACTTTGGTATACAACCATTGCTACTGCACATTGAAAACTCAGAGCTGCGACTGTTCAAAAAACGTTCTTCGAATGCTTGCATAAAGGAAAGCGAGAAAGATCCTAATTAGCCAGCGAACCGGCCAAAGACCTCTAGGATGGCCAAGAATAGCCTTGGGCAAGTTTCTCGAACGACTTTGCTCCACACTCGGGTTTTCTTCTACCAAAACTAAAGTGCTGGCATAGAATCGGGAATATTAAAAATATTGTCTGGTGAGTCTGCCTTCGTGACCCAAAAGGATAAGTCATTGAAACTGAAAGACTGACTGTCGGAGGAAAGTTAGCCATATTAAATTATTACTGACTTTATTTACTAGCAAAAATGTACTCAATTTTACGTTGTTCCGACATGGATCATCATCCGCTTTGCATGGTATAAAAGATGAAGTACGGTATACAGAGAACACCACAAACACAATTGTGGAATGAACCGACACTTTAAACCAAGGTTTAAAGTCTGAGTCGTACCAGGAACGCATAGTCCGGTAGTGGCTGGTTTGCCACATCTTTTTCAGCTCTAATTCCTGACTCAGATCACTAAATATCCTCGACAGTCTTAAAACGTAGTCAATCTTTAACATTCAGCAAAAGATAGTGTTTAATTATCAATCAGGGCAAGTTTAGGCTCCAGACCTGCCCAATAATCAAGAACGACGGAAGGAGGGGTCTACGATCAGCAAGCTCTGTCAGTGTTCGTATTTCTGAACCGAAAAGAAAAAGAAAAACTTTAAAAGGTTGGAAGGTAGGTCTTCCTTACACTTTCATAATGAGGACATTTCAGGTTCCCGTCCTGCAGTTAATCGCTGGGGTGCTGATTTCATTTAGAAGCCATCAACCAGGTTTGTCTTGTTTACAAAGTCAAGAGCAACAACAGCTATGTGGGGAGCATAGTGCGTAGTATGCTGTTTCCTTCCCAGAGAATGGAATCATATATGATGAATACCGAAACAAATTGCTCTGGTCATCGTGATTCAAATCAAGCATCAAATCAAACAGAACATTAACTACCTTTTCAATGTGGGCAGCTGAAAAATTTCGTGCCACGTAGTAAACAATGATTTCTGTTCATCCTTCTGGCCAATGCAAGTGCTTTGAATTTCTTTATACGACACCGGAGTATTGGAAATCTTCAGAAATTGCAACGTGTTGATGCACGAACGAACGTCGTTTGAAGATTTTTCGCATAGAGCCTCCAGCGACGACGGTTCAGTAGCTAAATCTTCTTTCTGACAGATCTGAAAATAGCTTTAGCATACTGAGAGAAAAACAGAGTTCAGCTAAGAATGTTGACAAAAGTATGGTGGAGGGGCAACATTTATTCATGGAAAACAATAGACCTCCTTAACGTCTGCTTGACTTGAATACCGGGGTTGTTCAGTGAAGAGAGCGTAGAAACCAAATCCAAAACCGACAGATCAGTTGTTCGAACTTCGGTTGGGGCGCCAGCCCTACTTCCTTCCGAAGTTGACAAATGAGTACTAATCTGGTAAATTAGATGGAAGGAAACAGAATAAAGATTTTGCTTGCCACATAGCTGCTACCGTCTCTACCTTCAATATAAGGCACTCCTGATTGACAGAGATCAGATACCCAACATCAACTTCATAAACAGCAGAACGCCAGTAATGACCACATCATTATACTGTAAGGACGACAGACATTCCAACTCTCACATACTTCGTTTTTCCCTTCCTTGTATTTACTGACTGAGCAGTCCAGATTTGGAGCATGTCTGAGTTGACAGTATGCATATCACATATGCGATATTATGAGCAAGGAGCACAAACTTTTTCTTGAAGCAGTACCTACAGAAGGATGGACATTATAGCGTAGAGCATTTTGTTTCTTCCCAAATGATGATGCTCATTTTTTACCTTGAACGGAAGCAAAGCAAGCGAACCGGCTGGGGTTTGCACATGTAACATTTAGAGTGCATGCTTGGCGTCTGATCGATCACATTGATAACAAACCGTATGTACAGGAAAAGACTAATTAAAACAACAAAATAAAAAATTTAAATACTCATACCTGAGAAAGACGATCGAACAAACGTCGAGGTTCAATCGGAGGCAGCTGAAGAATCAGCGCAACTTTTCTCAGCTCTCGAAGCGAAATCTTATACAAGTCGTTGCAGATGCAGATGACGGGACGACAGAGCGGCGGTCTATTTTTCGCTTTTGAACCTTTGCCGCTACCTTCGTCATTTTTAACCAGGGACACCAAATAATTTATCGAAACCTAAATTTGAAGTAGAGTTTCTATGATAACTATGACAAAAGCAAACGATGGAAATCGATTTGAACTGAGTAAGAAATTTGCAGTGAATACCAAACAACACAAATATTTAGTTATTTCTCGAAATACTCGAACTCACGGAGAAAATACAGATGCCATGAGTGTAGCATATTAACTCGTGTAATTATAATATAGCAATGGTTGTAAAAAGGTGAATATGAAATGTCACAGCTACGGTAATTGGTAAACAAGTTCACTTTCTCGACTTTATATAGCAATTAGTGATAACTCTAACAACTGGCTTTGTCATAGTGATAACTGGTATAACTACAATATTAGCACACCTAGATACTATTTCACCAGCGTTCTTTTCCTCACTCTCGGAGTCACTCTACAACCGGCTAAACCGGCGTAATGGCATCAATACTGACGAACAGCAGGTAATATGTTTTTCAATTGCGGACGACTGCATCCTCTTCACACAACATGCGATGAAGCTCCACTAAAAGATCTAGCGGTTGCAACCAAAAATCTCCCACCGTCGGATTTCCGCAGAAACACTGCTCCCATATGCCGTGTATATGAGTGAGCATGGCAAAGAATCGAACCTTAGTCGTCAGGTGGACCGCATGAACTCGACAGACAGCATAATCATCCAAAGAAAAAACATTGCATGGGTCAGTTTTAACTGTGTTAAAGCATCATTGCTCTACAGTCAGTTGCCCCTGTGAACAAAGAAAGAACTGTTCGTTTCAACGTCCTGCATGTCATATTCTACGGCGCTGAATATTAGACCGCAACTAAAGCCAAGAGGAACAAAATGATGGCCATGCAAAAGCGATGGAGCGAAGAACTTGCAAAATCTTCGGGGATCACGTACTGAGCTCACAAATTTAGCAATGGACTGGATTAACAGACGTAACTTCTGTTCTGTATGCCCACAATGCAAGATCAGCCGGCCATGTGACTCGCAAGGAGAACAATCCGTGGACGTCACTTATAAAACCTCAGTTCCGCTAGATTACAAACGTTCAGTTGGTCATTTAACAACATGATGGAATTATCTGATGGTAAAGTTATTTGGTCAACGGTTGAGGCAGAAAACGAAGAACAAAAGAGTGTTGGAGGAACGTGGATTTGCGCTCATAGCATATCCATAACGAGGAGAAGCCGGAAAACTGAAATCGGCTCGCTAATATCTTTCATATTTTAAATGTGAAGCATCGCTGCAAAATTACTTTCTATACATACTGTGCTTAAAATATTACCAAAATATACATACATCAGAAAGCTGCCACTCATGGTTGCTACTGCAGAACAACGGGGTTTTATTTCCCTTATACTTGCCTAGAGAGAGGGTACATCATTTTGGTACTTTAACATGCCACAGTTCAAACCAACTAAGTGAAACGGTTCTAAGTAATCTGCATTGCAGGCTTAAATATCACAGAGCTGTGACCTGGAAAAATGCCCCCCCCTTCCCCGTGATAATAAGCAAGGCGGCAGGGAAACGTTGCAGAATATCTTGACTTAATGACTTCCATTTGTCTTACACAATCGCAGTATTGTTGTGAAGTATTAAAATTGCTATTACGTAACACGTTATGTTTTCGCGGTGCTAACCTAGTATCAGTATTTGAAATAATATATTACCACAAACTGAATTATCAAAGGACAAGATTATATACTTCGTCATATACTTCTCGAAGTAGGTTTTGAATCTGGACCCAATATTTGTAAAATGGCTTT